ATGTAGTATTATGTTTTGTTATCAGTTTTCTTGAGCCAAACATCAGTCGGTTTTCTGTTATTGTACGTTTATTTAACACACCTCCATTACAAGCCAAGGATGATGAGACTTTATGTGGACATATTGAATTGCAGTTTAGAGTTGGACCACTCTCTATCAACAAGGAACTTATAACAAGGTAAGAGAATTATTCAATAGTTGATTAACAAATCAAGAGTTGATTAACAAGGGCTTGTGGCTATATGATGTATTCAAATCTCATTTAAATCTCACACTCAAGTAATACCGGTAGGTATCATATACATTTGTTTCATATGGGTCAAATGTAATAAGAATTTGTTGATGTTCTATTCAATTTAGGAATTTTGCAATTTGATGATTTGAGTGCATTTGTGAGAACACCATTTTCCAGAAAGTCATGTCTCTAAGACTCCCCAAGTGATTGTCAATATGACTCAACAGGTTTCCAAATAAAAGTCATGTCTCTAAGACTCCCCAAGTGATTGTCAATATGACTCAACAGGTTTCCAAATAAAAGTCACTGTGACTCTCAAGGACCCCAATAAAAGTCACTGTCTTCCTAAGAAGACAGCTAGTGAAAGTCCCTGTGACTTTTTAGAACATCTCATGAAAGTCACTGACTCCAAATGACCATAGTGAAAATCATATTTTTCTCTAGAAACTATTGAAAATCATTGTTTTGCCCTAGGAACCAATGAAATTCAGTGTGTCTTCCTAAGATCACAGGGAAAGTCCCAATGCGATAATGTGACCTCTTATGTCATTTGGGTTTTCTACTAACCTATCAATAACACAGTGTGACCTCTGTTATGTCATTTAGGTTTTCTACCAATCTATCAATGATAGTGTGACCTCTGTTATGTCATTTAGGTTTTCTACTAACCTATCAATGACACAGTGTGACCTCTTATGTCATTTAGGTTTTCTACCAACCTATCAATAACACAGTGTGACCTCTGTTATATCATTTAGGTTTTCTACCAACCTATCAATGGCAGTGTGACCTCTGTTATGTCATTTAGGTTTTCTACTAACCTATCAATGACAGTGTGATCTCTGTTATGCCATTTAGGTTTTCTACCAACCTATCAATAACACAGTGTGACCTCTGTTATGTCATTTAGGTTTTCTACCAACATATCAATGACAGTGTGACCTCTGTTATGTCATTTAGGTTTTCTACTAACCTATCAGTGACAGTGTGACCTCTGTTATGTCATTTAGGTTTTCTACCAACCTATCAATGACAGTGTGACCTCTGTTATGTCATTTAGGTTTTCTACCAACCTATCAATGACAGTGTGACCTCTGTTATGTCATTTAGGTTTTCTACTAACCTATCAATGACAGTGTGACCTCTGTTATGTCATTTAGGTTTTCTACCAACCTATCAATGACAGTGTGACCTCTGTTATGTCATTTAGGTTTTCTACCAACCTATCAATGACAGTGTGACCTCTGTTATGTCATTTAGGTTTTCTACCAACCTATCAATGATAGTGTGACCTCTGTTATGTCATACAGGTTTTCTACTAACCTATCAATGACAGTGTGACCTCTGTTATGTCATTTAGGTTTTCTACGAACCTATCAATAACACATTGTGACGTCTGTTATGTCATTTAGGTTTTCTACCAACCTATCAATGACAGTGTGACCTCTGTTATGTCATTTAGGTTTTCTACCAACCTATCAATGACACAGTGTGACCTCTGTTATGTCATTTAGGTTTACTAGCAACCTAGATACAGTGTGACCTCTGTTATGTCATTTAGGTTTTCTACCAACCTATCAATGACAGTGTGACCTCTGTTATGTCATTTAAATTTTTTACCAACCTATCAATGACAATGTGACCTCTGTTATGTCATTTAGGTTTTTTACCTACATATCAATGACACAGTGTGACCTCTGTTATGTCATACAGGTTTTCTACTAACTTATCAATGACAGTGTGACCTCTGTTATGTCATTTAGGTTTTCTACTAACCCATCAATGACACAGTGTGACTTCTTATGTCATTTAGGTTTTCTACCAACCTATTAATGACACAGGATGACCTCTGTCATGTCATTTAGGTTTTCTACTAACCTATCAATGACACAGTGTGACCTCTCATGTCATTTAGGTTTTCTACTAACCTATCAATAACACAGTGTGACCTTTCATGTCATTTAGGTTTTCTACTAACCTATCAATGACACAGTGTGACCTCTCATGTCATTTAGGTTTTCTACTAACCTATCAATGACACAGTGTGACCTCTCATGTCATTTAGGTTTTCTACTAACCTATCAATAACACAGTGTGACCTCTCATGTCATTTAGGTTTTCTACTAACCTATCAATGACACAGTGTGACCTCTCATGTCATTTAGGTTTTCTACTAACCTATCAATGACACAGTGTGACATCTCATGTCATTTAGGTTTTCTACTAACCTATCAATGACACAGTGTGACCTCTGTTATGTCATTTAGGTTTTCTACTAACCTATCAATGACACAGTGTGACATCTGTTATGTCATTTAGATTTTCTGCCAACCTATCAATGA